TTCTAGGCCCTGGTGGGGTGCTGTAAGATCAGCACTGGACTGCTAGCCTCAAGGTCAGTGGGTCAAACCCTTTGTAGGGTTGCTATGAGTTGGAACTGACTTGACAGCAAAAACAACAGGCAAAATAATGTTACTAATATATAAAATCTCTGAGAGCTGGGGTTTGTCAGGACTACCTTGTTTCCCACCTTTGATAGGGTGCAGTCTTACCACTTCTCTATCACTTGTTTTAGTGAGAAATATTTGTTTACTTCTCTGGCAGCCTTATTGCCTTACACAGGTTCCAGAGATTGCAGGTTTTACTGTTTATGAAACACAATGTATGTGGGTGTCAGATAAGACAAGTATGTTGTTAAGTCCGTGGAGTCAGGTTCTGACTCATAGTGACCTTATATAAGGGTTTCCAAGGAGCGGCTGGTGGGTTTGAACTGCAGACCTTTTGTTTCGCATTCTAGTGCTGATCCTACAGTGCCACACCAGGAATCCAGCCAAGTATGACTGGATACTGATTTAGATCTCCATTAATATAGGACCCCCTGGCCAGATGACATGGACTATTGTGTAAGCTTTTAGCATTTTCAAAGCACGGTGCAGTGGGTGAGATGGAATCATTCTGGAGCTTTTCTGTGGGTTTGTTGTTCCCTCCCTCTGCTTCTCTAGGACTTGACCTTTGAAATGAACAATTCATATAAGGTTATTACTTCAAGTCTTCTGGCATGTTACATCCTATCTCTTAAAGACTGTCCTGAGATACATATGCAAGTGTAACACATCGTCCAACACTGCTAGCCTCTGAAGTATTAAAAACTCCTCTTCCTCCACCGGGAAATCGTTACCCTTTCTGGAGGAGACTTTCCTGGAGCACTCTCTGGGTGTGGTGTCCAGGTTCTGAGCTGCAAGTGCCAGTGGAAGTAGCTTTTTTCTTTTCCCAGGGAGGCAGTGCCCCGCCCTGGTCATAGCTTATCAGTAGACTACATGGCCAGTAGTTTCCCCGTATAGTTTAAGTCGCCTGGTTATACTCTCAGCATCCCAGGTCCCCGAAGATACTGGCCGCTTCCTGCTTCCTCTCTGACTCAGCCCCCACTACTATACTAATAGGCCTGGCTTGTGGTGCTGTGTGCCTAACCTTGTCCTCACCTGCCCTTCCATGTCCCTTTCTCCATTGACCCCTCCTTGCTGTACTCTGTCTCTTCTGTGTAGATTGTAAATGGACATTAAGTGGTTGAGGGAGATGTGAAGGAGGGTGGTATGAAGGCATGGGAGCCCCACCGGGTCCAAAACCCATTGGCGTTTTCTGACGAGGAGGAGGAAGACCTGCTGGATTTCATGTACAAGTATAAGGCACTTCGAAAGACGGATTTGCCCCTGGAGGTACATGGTGTCTGGGGCTGCGGGCTGCAGCATGTGTTTGCACAAGGTCTTTGCCCTGGAGGTCGGGGTTCCGGAACAGTATTTCTTGTGGTACCTAGCACTTCCCAGGTGCCTGGGCTGGGGAGATCTCACTCCAACCAACAGATAGGACAGGCCACTATGTAGAATCCAGCTACTTGCTAAGGTAAATAAGAAGGCCCTAGAGCTCTGGTAGTACAGTGGATATGAATCAGGCTGCTAACTTCAAGGCGGCAGTTCGAAACTACCAGCCATTCCGTGGGAGTAAGAGGAGGCTTTCTGCTCCCGTGAAGATTTACAGCCTCGGAAACCCGGTGCAGGGTCACTATGAGTCATAACCTACTCAATGGTACTTAACAAGTAGTTATTTCATGGGACAAACAAGAGGCCTTCTGCTTCTGCATAAATTTAAAGCCTCTTACACTATTCCCAGGGTTAGTATGAGTCAGAAGTGACTCAACAACATATGCTGCCAATAACAAGCATTTATTTTAAAACAGGAGAGGTGAGTGGCAAAGCGTCTAGGTTTATTTCTGTTATTTTCCTTAATCAGCTACTAACCTATGATAGTGTGCAAGTGAAAAACAAGCCAAAAGAATGTTTGACACGTTTTTAATAATACTTGTTCATCACTGTATCTCTGAGACACAGCATAGTGCCAAGTACAAGGTAAGTGCTCATAAAAAAGTTATTAATGGGGCATAGCCCTTTAAAATTAGCAAAAAGAATACACTTGACATTTGTATAGGTGTGAGTGTCTGACAGACGGAGGGCCAAGACAAGAGCTTGCCCATGATGTGGGGAGTGAGTCAGCTGTCTGGGGTTCAGGCACAGGGCGGACAGAAATTGGGGAGTCTTTCTTCTCGCCTCCTCATTTCTCCTATCTTCTTCTCCATCTGCTGAATACCAAACCAAAGCCTGAGTGTCCTTCTGAGGACCTTTGTGAGATTCAAATGAGGGAATGTTTTGAAATACGCCTCTTTTACAAACTCAGTGACTGCATCGGTCCTACTCAACATTCAAACTCAGTGCCATCTAGTCTGTTCTGACTCAAAGCAACCCTGTGTAGGGTTTCTGAAGCTGTAGATCTTTCCAGGAGCAGAAAGCCTCCTCTTTCTCCCGTGGAACAGGTGGTGGGTTTGAACTGCTGACCTTTCAGTTAGCAGTCTTGTGCTTACTCTACAGTGCCACCAGGTTTCACACTGTTGTTTTTAGAGGTGTCAAGTCAGTTCCAACTCGTAGTGAACCTACGCATAACAGAGCAGAGCACTGCCCCTCCTCACAGTTGGTTCCCTTCAGCCCTTTGCTGATGACCCTGTACCAATCCATCTCGTTGGGGTCTGTTTTTCACTGACCCTCCACTTGACCAAGCATGATGTCCTTTTCCAGGGTCTGGTCAACATGTCTGAAGTAAGAGATAGTCTGGCCATGTCAGCTTCTAAGGAGCATCTGGCTGTTTTTCTTCCAACACAAGATTTGTTGGTTATGCTGGCAGTCCATGGGACTTTCAGTTCTTCTGCAACACCATACTTCAGATGCATCAATTCTCCTTCAGTCTCCCTTACTCATTGTCCAACTTTCACATGCATATAAGGCAACTGAAATACCATGACTTGAGTCAGGCACACAGTAGTTCTCAAACTGACATCTTTGCTCTTAAACACTTTAAAGAGGTCATGTGCAACAGATGTGCCTAAGGCATTATGGCATTTGATTTCTTGACTGCTGCTTCCATGAAGGGTGTGAGTTCAACAAACTCCTTTCCAAGGTGAGGCACACATAGACCAGTTTTAAAGTTAGCTTGGTAAACGATGCTCTGAATTTGGACACTGCTTGAGGTATCAAGCCTGGGCAGCTGCAGAGTGGAGAGAGGGACCCAAATCCAGAGTGGTGGCAAGGTGCCTTAGACATTAAGAGGGCCTGAGGGTTTCTGCCCTGTTGGTTTTGCTTTTTAAAGCAGCACAAGCTACTTACTTTACTGTGCAGTGCTGTGGGTTAATGCGCTGGACTGCAAAGTCAGTTTGAACCTTGTAGTTGGCAGTTCAAGCTCACCAGTCACTCTTTAGAAACCCTATACAGAGTCATTATGGATCAGAACTGGCTCGACGGCACTTAACAACAGTGAAGTAAAGGCCTGCCAAGGGGCAGATCACTAAGACTGTAGGTTTCACTGATCTTCTACCTCTTCGAGATGGCTGGTAAGCATTACCAAGTGGTAAGGCAGCAGCATGAGGATTCAGGAAGCCACAGGCCCAAAAGCCCTCTGGTCCCTGGTTCATCACTCCCTCACCTGGCTCGTGTTAAGTGTCATTGAGTAGGTGACCCTGCATAGGGTTTCTGAGGGAGCAGATAGTGGGTTTGAATCATCAGCCTTGTGGTTAGCAGTGCAGTATTTATCCTACACATCAGGCACGGGGCTAATCAGTGGGAAATTAGTGGTGAATATGTCACAGATTATCTCCCGGCAATTGTCTGGTTGGAGAGACAGTGAGCAGAGAAAGCTCACCACAATGTGGTATAAGGGCCTCTGACTGACGCATGCGTAGAACACAATGAGAGCTGAGAAGGTGATAAGCCCTGATGTGTGTACACGAGCCGTGGGAAGAGGGGCTTAAGTGGTGGTTCACGTCCACGCTGAGGCCCCTCGGGAAATAGGCCTGGTGAGCTCCCTTCTGAAAGGTCGCAACCTTGAAAACCTCACAGAGCAGTTCTACTCTAACACACATGGGCTCACCAACAGTTGGCATCAACTCCAGGGCAACTAACAATAGCAGCAAAGTTGTAGTTTTTGTTAAGTACCGTGGAGTCAGTTCTGACTCATAGCAACCTTGTGTAGGGTTTCCAAAGAGCAATAAAGAGGACTAGAAAAATGTGCCAGACAGAGAAAGGCTTCCAGGCAGAAGGAGGAGAGGCATGAAGACACTGTAAAGGAAAAAGGCATCCAGTATGGAGAGAAGTGGACAGAGATAGGGCTTATGAGTAGGCCAGTTGTGTGAACCTCCTTGAATGCTAGGCTAGGAGAAAATTTTTCTTTTATGCCTTTGTAAGTAACTCCTCCTGTGACTTGAGGAAGGATCCCTTGACAGTCATTTGTGGGTGAGATGAGGCGTTAGTATTTAAAGGTGGTGCTCGCCTTTGTTGTATGGTTTGCGAGTTTCACATTCAGAATGGAGACTGGAAATTTGGTCATGGAAATTTTCAACATGTGCCAAAAAACATGAGTCTGGTTCCCAAAGGAAATAACACAGACTAGGAAAGCAGCAGAGAAGACATTTTTCTCTGCTGAGTTATTTGTTAATGATGTTTTGCTCCCAAGGCAGACACTAGAAAGCTGTGTCACCCTCCTCACTTGGGAGATAGAAGATTTTTGGGGAGGGGGAGGGAGCCGAGAGGGAGGCGCTGGCCTTCTGAGCTCAGCTGCAGTTCAGGCTGATTCTGATGGTCCACTCCTGTCGGGAAGACTAGGTGTCCACCACCCACCCACACACACAACACACACCCACACCCACACACACACACACACCACCCTCTCAACGCAAGCCCACTCAGGTGCTGTCCTCCCGCATTTATAGCAAACTGAGAGACACCTTTCTTTCCGTTTTCTCGGCCAGGCACCGCCTAGAACCCTTCGATCTCGATCTCGATCTCGATCTCGCTTCAGGAAGAAAAGTACCTCATCCTCGGCCACTGAAACCACGTGAGTGAGATGAGCCAGCAGCATCAGGATCCACAGAATGTCTCTCCTCTGCCTTAAAGAGCTATCACTAATAACACAGAAATCCGCAAGCTGGGTGTGCTTTGTGTGCGGCCTCACACACATGGCCTTCTCTCTCCTCTCTTCCATTTTTAGGACTTTTCCTCCACTCCTTTTCTTTCTTTTTCTGGGGAGAAGATAAAGGTGAAGGTAGTGGGAGGTGACTTTTAAGTTGGCAGTTTTCCGCAGTCAAGCTGTCTTTGTAGACAGTGGTGTTTCAGAAATGGGAGACCCCCTCGCACTGCTGAGATGTACATTTGTAATTTATCTGTTGCATACTACTTAGTTTTGAGTCCTGTACATGCAAACAAAACAATTTTTTAAACATATTTTGTTGTTGTTCTTGGTACTAATACTTTGGACTATAATGTACATATTTATGGCTTTGGACTTACTATAATAGACTTGCAAGGGCTACCAGAGGTTCAGATATGAAAGGAAATGGCAAAAACAGAAATATATATGTATGAAAAATTGATTCTAGGAATGTCTCAGATGTGCTTATAAAGCTTCCAGATACAACTCCACTAAAATGTCCCTTTTCTGGAAGATGGTAGCTCTGGTCCATCTTCTGTAGACAGTATTTTAGTGACAGAGGTCAAAGGCAGGGGTAACAGAAACAAGTCTCCTCTTGGATTCAAGATCAGGAGCTTCTGAATCCTTTTTTTTTGTGGGGGGGGGGGAAGCGGGGATTGTTAACATTGGTTTAGGCATGTCACTCACCCCTGGGAATGTGCACTCAAGGCTAATTCTGTTACTGAAGTGGTTGACAAATGACTATTGCTCTTTCATAGTACCCAGTGCTGCAATTAATTTCCCCAAGTAGAGGAGCCCACAGTCTGACTACTGTGTCCTGTTTGAAAGGAGAATAGTAAGCAGCTTGGTCACAGATATGCTGTAAGAGACACCTGGGACATGTGTAACAAGAAGGGTGGGCTCTCTGGGTAAGACTTGCTCATCTGATCCATGGGCACGCTCTCCTGTCCCCTTCTGACTTGGATGAAGATGAAGGAGAGAGATGTCGACATTTTTAGTACTGTCTATCTTAAAAGAGATTTTCTATGAGCCTGGGTCTCCTAAGATAGGAAGAAAGCATGATCTGAGGGGATTCCCTACTTAGATTGAAAACTTAATCTGTAAAGGAGAAGAATCTGGTTTCAATGGCAATCTGGTCAGAAGTAGCTGCTCACCCCTCTGGGAGCTGATCCTAGATGTAGGACTAGTATATTTGTGCTTCAGGTTGGTGTTTTCATTAAGTGTAATGCATGCAGTGGTCACAATGCAGTTACTCATATTTGGATTGTTTGTTTGTAGTGAAACCCTGAAAACTAGAGAATTACTGTTTTGTACCACATAGAACTTACTGTCAACCAACATACACTGCCCCTTTAAGGATTATAATATTACTGAGTTGTGCGAAGGTACATCAGTGGCCTTTGCCAATGACACATTAGCTGGACATTAGACACCTCAGAAAGGGTTTGACTTGAAGTTGATTGTTGCCACATATGCATACTCAAATCCCTTCTTCCCATAGTTCCTCTGAAGGTGATTTTGTAATTTACTAAGATTTACGAAAACAAATCTAAAAGAAAGTTTGTGGTTGAGAGGGCAAATAAGAGGTTGTCCACTCATTGTCTATGCCCAACCCACCAATGCCCAAACCTTCTAGAAAAGGCAGACAATGTGTTTTCTTCCGGCTCACTGAATAATTTCAGACAGAGGAAAATATATTCTTTAAAATGTATTTACCTGTTAGGAGTTGGGAGTACCCAGAATTATCAAAAACAAATGCAGAAAAAACTTAAGCAGCTTTTTAGCAACTTTTTTTTTCTCCAAAATAATAATGCCTTTAGCAGCAAAGATTAAAATCCTATTGTGAACAAGCTATAGTTTCACCATTTTACAATGGAAAGTTTTAATAAGTACAGGCTGTTAAGTTTGCACTCAATTATGCCAAAAAAAAAAAAAAAAGTTTGAAGCACTCTACTCTCATACAAGCATTTAAAATATATATAAAAGTATCTAAACTAGCTGTCTTAATGTAAATGTATCTGTTTTTTCTTGAAGTGTTGATTAGGGAGTTGATTTTCTCTTAAAGACACTTGACACACACTGTATAAGTGACAACAGCTGTTATATTCCTAGAAAATTGTGTTTACTTATCCAACAAGCTGTATATTTGTGTATGGACTGACGTAAAATGTGAATGCCTACAAGTGTACATGTAGCGGTGTGGTGTTCTGGTGAGAGGATATAAGTGTTTTTAATTTGCAGATACACAGCCACAGGCTGTTTCTAAGATGCTAACTCGAAAAGTCTGTAATTTTCACGTGTTCACTTTTAGTTAATTGCCATTGAGCACCTGTTTCTGTTCTGGAGGAGGTGAGACAAGGTCTTGTACTTGTAAACTGGAGAGAGTTTAGTCATAATCCCTCCTAGCTTCATGTGAATAGCTTGCTCACTTGGCTGGCCTCTGAAGTGTATGTTCTCCGTAGTAAACTGTCCATGTGTTTGTGATGAGTACTTGTCAACTATGATCGTCATGGCGCTGACTTCCCATAATTCACCTTGCAGTATTTGAGACGGCAAAGGATTTGCTTCATTCTGATGGTGCACAAATAGCAGATCTTCTGGATCGCAAATGTGCACATTTCCCCCAATTGACTTCGTGAAGCCCCAATAGAATGATCTGTAATAAAAAAGTATACCAGACTGTGCAACAGAGGGAGCTAAAATTACAGTATTCCAAAGGTTGAAGTTCTGCTGTTGTGTTATAATGCCTGATATACATCTTGAATAAATAAAGTCTTAACATTTTTTTTTTTCTTTTAAAAAACATCTTTGTAATGTTGGGCTTATGAGGAATGAGAAAATACTTACACAAATTAAACTTGTATGGAAGGTAGCAGGGTGCTTTATCAGTAACTGGCCCTACACCTACTACCGAGGATTGTTGGGAAAGGGAAAAAATCCATAATTACTGTGTTTTCTGAAAACCAATTGTTCACACAAACAGTAAGCTGACAGTAACACTATTTGCTTTACATTTTTAAAAGATTATTGTGGAAAAGGTAGCTGTGAAAACACCAGAGTAGTTACTCTGGTGGTGGTGGTGATGTGCTATGGAGTTGGTTCCAACTCATAATGACCCCACATAGGGTTTCTGAGGCTGTAAATCTTTACAGGAGCAGAAAGCTGTGGAACGGCTGGTAGTTTCAAACTGTTCACCTTGAGGTTAGCAGCCTGACTTGTAACCACTACTCTACCAGAGAGTTTTAATTCTGCAAATGAACCTTCGGGTTGATCATTTTCCTTCTCTGAACCTGTTTCCTCACTGCAGAAGTGGGGAGGGCAGGACAGAAGAGGGTGCAGTGGAGGCACCTGTGGGTGGTGTGTACCTTCGTCACTACTGTAGCCCTCGCTCTGAAAAAAGAGGGGTGCAACTAAGCTTTTGTTTGGTGGTCACACAGACTTGCAGACTCACAATCTGGTCCATTTTCTTTGCCTTTTCATCGCTATGTTCTACATGTTTGATAGAACTTTAAAATAAAGGACTAAAAAATAAAACAGAGGCAGCAGGTAACAGAGCAGATTCAGATGCCTGAGAAGGAGAAGAAGAGAGATGGAAACAATCTAAGTGGCCATCAGTGGAAGGACAGATAGACAAACTATGGCACAGACACACAATGGAATGTTACGTAACATGAAAGGATAGCAAACAATCTGTGAAACACCTCAAAACATGAATGAACCTGGAGGACAATACGCTGAGTGAAATCAGTCAATCAAAAAAAAGGTGACTACTGTATAAGTCCAGTTATAAAAAAGTCAAGGAACGGTATGCATACAGAAGAAAACATTCTTTGATGGTTACAGGGATGGAAAGGAAAGGAAAGATCACTACATAATAGACATGTATTAATTTGGGTGAAGGGAAAGACAATATATAATAGGGGAATGGTCAGGGGGTAAAAAAGAAATGGAAAGAAAGACTGAAAATCCATTCATTCATTCATTTCTTGAGCTAGGTCTGTATCAGCAGAACTGAGATTAATCAAGTTAAGAACTAAAATATAACAGGAAAGAAAAGTTACAAAAGGAAAAGGCTGCATCAGTGCAGTGTCATGAGTAAGTACTTAGTATTCATAGCGCTTAACAACAAACCACCATTTATAGTGCTAGGTTACAGTCAAGGGCTGATGTACGTGTGAATCTTCATTTGTTAGAAGACTCAGGGAAACATGGGATTCCAAAGACTTAGACTTGGATTCTGTGATTTATTGCCTGAACTTTAGGGTAATTGATTTAGATCTTCAGTTTCCTCAAATCTAAACTAGGAATAAATAATGGTATCTCCTTTGTAGAGCTAGTATAAGAATCGGCAGTTATGTAGATAGCAGTTAAGTGCTGTTGAGTTGATTCTGACCCATAGTGACCCAGTACAGGGTTTCCTAGGAACAGCTGGTGAAGTTGAACTGCAGTCTGATGCATTAGCCCACAGCGCCACGCCAAGATTCCAAGCTGGGAAACAGGTATTCAAAAAATTATACTTTCACATATACTGGATTATGTACTTTAGGGTTGTTGTTGTGTTAAGTGCCGTTGAGTTGGTTCCAACTCATAGCGACCCTGTATAGGGTTTCCAAGGAGTGGCTGGTGGGCTTGAACCACCGACCTTGCAGTCCAGTATATTAACCCACAGCACCACACAGTACTTTAGGATAGACCTTTTAATTTTATGCAGGATGTTTCATTGTGAAACTATAAAGTCAGGAACATCTGGTAAGATGGTGGACTAGGCTGATGCACTACACAACAAAGATTCAAGAAAACAGATGAAAACCCTGGCACCCTGAACTTCAGAGGCAAGGTTAGAGATTGGGTGCTTGCTGGGAGGAGAAGCTGAGTGGGGACAGTGAGAGGAGGAGACTGACTGGTGAATGGCTGGCCAGATGCGTTACAACAACCTTGAGCCTTCATGAGCAGCTTTTGTAACAGAAGGTGACCTGGCAAGACAGAGTCACACAGGTAACAGGAAAAGAAAAGGTGTGATTCTTTCCTTTCCCCCCTGCTCCCCTGGGGGCCTTCCTCTACCCCCACACAATCCCTGCTTTCCAAAGTTCTTAGCCACATGGTTGGAAGCCACACCAGTGTGAGGCAGGGGTGGCAA